TTCTTTTCTTTCTTTTCTTTCTTTTCTTTCTTTTCTTTCTTTTTCTTCTTTTCTTTCTTTTCTTTCTTTTCTTGCTTTTCTTTCTGTCCTTCCTCCCTCTTCCTTCTTGCCTTCCTCCCTATTCCTACCTTCCTTCTTTCCTTCCTTTTTCTTCTTTCTTTTCTTTCTTTCCACCCTCCCTCTTTCTTCCTCCCTTCCTCCCTCTTCCTTCCTTCTTTTTTCTTTTTTCTTTTTTCTTTCCTTCTTTCTTTCCTTCTTTTCTTCTTGCTCCTTCCTTCCTTTCTTTTTTCTTCCTTTCCTTCCTTTCTTTTTCTTTTTTCTTTATTTACCCCCTCCATCCTTTGTTCCTTCAATCCTCCCTTCCTCTTTCTTCCTTTCTTTTTTGCTCCTTCTTTCCTTTTTGTCTTTTTCTTTCTTTCCTTTCTTTTTTCCTTCCTCCGTCCTTCCTTCCTTTTCTTTTTTCCTTCTTTCATTCCTTTCTTCCTTGCTCCTTCCTTCCTTCCTTTCTTTTTCTTCTTTCTTTCCTTCATTCCTCCCTCCTTTTTCCTTCCTTTTTTCCTTCCTTCCTTTTTCTTCTTTCTTTCCTTCCTCCCTCCCTTTTTTTCCTCCCTCCCTCCCTCCTTCCTTTCATTCTTTCTTTCTCTCCTTTTCTCTTCTCGAGTCATTTGTTAAGTGAGTCTTTCCCCATTTTACGATCTTTCTTGCCACACTCCCTATGTGAATCATGGCGGTCCATAACTTATGGAACATGATTGTTAAGTAAATCCAAACAAGCCGAAGGTCACAAAAAGGGGATTGCGTGACCCCTGGTTAATGCGACCGTCATAAGTATGAACCAGTTGCCAAGCGCCTGAATTTGACCATGGGATCACGGGAATGCTGCAAAATTCGCAAGTGGGAAATGTCATCGTCAGTCCCTTTTTTCAGTGCCGTGGAACTGTCGTAAGTCGAGGACTAGCTATACCCCCCCTCCCACCCCCCATTAATGGGAGTCAGCCTTGATTTCTCATCCAGACCCACCGATGTGTCGAAGGCCTTTTGCAGTCCCTGTTCTTCTCTCTTTCCTCCCAGGTCATCGATAAAATGATTGCCGAAACCTCCAGTGGCGGAGTGACTGCAAACGACGTCCTCATCCACTTTTCCATTCCAGGGTTCCCTTTCGGGGGCGTGGGTGAGTCTCAGAGGAGGGGGGGGCGTTTGGGTTTCCCAATTAGAAAGATTTTCGGCTTAGAGTCTTTAAGAGATTCTCAATCCCCCAAGTCCGAGGAGCCCGTGGCACGACAAAAGCGCGCTCGACTAAAGCGCGCCCGATTAAACCGCGTCGCTGACGTCATCAACAGGGCGACAACAGCCAGC